AGATTAGAAATGCATGTGGAAACACCTTAGTGTTAATTGCATTAAAAATGAAGTTTTCTGTATGAACCTGTATTTTAATATTGAAAGAGATTGTTTTAAGGTCAAAACCTCATTTAATTTCATGTCTTATAGGGTTTATACTGAATACAGTATTGTATAACTGTAATAATTCAACTGTAAACCTAAAAATTTATAGCCAATTTTGAAAGAGATGCATCTTAGCTCAGGAAATTGTTATTGAATATGTCAATGCTGTTGTAATGAAATACTTCTAAGTATATGGTTATTAAATAATTTTAAAAATATTACAAATTTAAAAAAAAGTGATATTTTGGGGTGTCAAGTTGACAAGGGGTGGAAGAGCAATGATTCGTTGGGATCATCAATTTGCAGTATTTAAAATCATTTAAAAGAAACCTCTGGATGTGTTTGTGAAGGCACCTCTAAAGATTTTTACCTGAGGTGGGGAGGAAGACCCACTTTGAATGTAGGTGGCAACATTGCATGGACTGCAGACCAGGACTGAGTAACAAGGGAAAAAGGAGGAAGCCAGATGAGCACCAGCATTCATCTCTCTCTGCTTCCTGACTGCAATGACATGTGACCAGCCACACCTCTTCCCCTTTCACTGCCATTCCTTCTTCACCATGATGGACCCAACCCTCTGCACTATGAGCTACAATAACCCTTTTAAGTTGCTTCTTGTTAGGTACTTGGTCACAGCAAAGAGAAAAGTAACAAGTACTAGGCAGAGTACTGAATATACTGTCTTTAAGAAAACAAAAAATTTAGTACACCAATTCTATGTCTAAAAAGATTCTAGGCTGGCAAGATGGCTTGTTGCACAATGTGAGTTTGATCCCCAGAACCCACAAAAAGATGGATGCGATGGCTCGCCCCTGTGATCTCAGCAGCAGGATGAGATGGTAGGCAGAGACAGACTTGCCTAAAGCTCATGAACCAGTCAACTTGGAGTATGCAGAGAAGGAGCAACAAGAGAGACCCTGCCCCAACAAGGTAGAAGGAAAAAACCGATTCCTGAAAGATCTTCTCTGACCTCCATATGCATGTCATGGCATATGTGCATTTCCCGACCCCACAGACACACATTAAATACACACATACATACATACACAATAATAGTAATAAATAAAATATTAAAAGATTCTAGCTAGAAATAATCTGAGTTTCCTACTGAACATTTCCTATTAAATGCATTTGGAATTAGAGTGTATATATATAGGCTGGCCCTGATCTCACAGAGATCTGCCTGCTTCTGCCTCCCAAGGGCTGGGATTAAAGGCTCATGCCACCACCACCAGCAATATATTTTATTATTATATATTTTTTTTGGTCTTTTTGAGACAAAGTTTCCTTGTAGCCGCAGCTGGCCTGGATTCGCTAATGGAGACCATTTTTAATCACAACTGAGGTAAGTAAAAGAAATTGGTTCCATTGATAAAGTGCCTGATGCACAAGCATGAGGACCTGAGTTCAGATTCCCAGCACTCTTGTAGAAACTGGGCACAGCAGAGCACATCGAAAACACCATTGCTGGGGATGGAAGAAGGAGTGAACAAAGGTGGGTTCCTGAAGATCACTGGTCAGCCAATCTAGCTAAATTAATGAACTACATGTTCATTGAAAGAATTTGCTAAAAACATAAGGTGGGCAGCAACTGAGTTAAACACTAGATGTTCACAGGCCCTGACAGGGAACTTATGACTGATGCTATGCTAAATAGACATGTAGCCACACTCCCCTCTAAATATTTATGTTTATACCCTTGGACCAGTGCTGCTTTCAGTCTTGGCCAGAGAAGCTTCTTTTTGCAATGAGTAATGGTTAGTACAGAGACTCATAATTGGTCAAAGTGCTTTGATTAAGTGACTGTTGAGTGCTCAGCCAAAAACTAATTATCTGTATTACCCTCTCTGACCCCAGAGACCATCACAGAAAATGGGGCAGAAAGACTGTGAGAGCAGATGGGGAGGAGCAGTAGGCAATGCTGTCCTCTGGATGTGACATGGCCATTGTGCCATGAACACACAGCAGCTGTGGCTGCTTGCATGAACAAAGATATCAAAGGAGGAGGAGGACTAGCTGAAAAAAGGGGGTCTTCAGGAGTGGAAAGGACATACAAGAAGGTAATGGGGAGCAAGTGCATTAAAAATACACTGCATACCTATATGAAAATATCAAAATCAAATAAAGTGATAATAAAGACACTAAGGTTGACTTCTCACCTCCACCTGCTATGTACACAGATACACACACACTTATATACAATCATACATACACCCAGATGAACACATACACAACACATATACACACAAAAGAAATTTACTGAGAATCAGACACACAAAAAACCTTGTTTTGTGTTCACAAAAAATTCAGTGTAGGAATGGACCCTGATTGTTAGTAGGCCAGTCTGATTTTCCTAAGGCCATTAATGCATTCTTTAAAAAAAAAAAAAAAAATTTATGATATTTAATTATGTGAATGTGTGTGGGTATGTACATGTGAGTGTAGTGTCCATGGAGTCCAGAGGAGGGCATCAGATCCCCTGGAGATGGCTCAGCAGTTAAGAGCACCAGGCGTTCTTGCAGAGGACCAGGGTTCAAATCCTAGCACCCATATGGCAGCTAACAACCACCCATATTTCCAGTTCCAGGGGTTCTGATGCCCTCTTCTGACCTCCATGGACATTGCACAACACAGGTGCACTTAACATACATGCAGGCAATATACTCATACACATAAAATAAGGTCAAGAGATGAAAGAATACTAAAGCCAGAGGTAAAAGAATATTTTCCTCCAAGAAAAAGGAGTACACCACTTACATTCCTTTCCCTCTTTCCTTTCCTTGTTTCTGTTTTTGTTTTTTGAGACAAGGTCTCCCAATAGCCCCAGCTGACCTGTAACTCACTTTGTAGACCAGGATTTGCCTGCCCCTGCCTCCTGAATGCTGGGATTGAAGGCATCTGTCATCACACCCAGCCCTTTTGTTTTCTTAAATATTAGGTCATTTACGCACTATTTCTTTCTTAACTATTTAGGTCATTTATTACATCTTAACTCTTAGGTCATTTATGCATTATTTCTTCAGCAGTATAGACAGGTGAGTATTTGTGAAAGAAGACAGAATGAGAGAGGTACCATTAAAGAATAGTAGCTCTTGCTGGGCAAGGTGGCACATACCTTTAATCCCAACAATGGAGAGGCAAAGGGAGGCAGATCTCTGTGAGATCGAGGCCAGCCTGTTCTACATAGGAATTCCAGGCCAGTGGGGTTACAGAGAGACCCTGTCTAAAAAAAAAAAAAAAAAAAAAAAAAAAAAAAAGTGGGCATCTGTGGGAGACAGGCTTGAGCCTAGGGTGAAAGTCTTATTGACAGCCATACAGCAGGCCTGAAGCAACGGCCCAACCACTGGAGCCACAAGGAACGCCTTGTGACATTTGCTCCCATTGGCAGATCATGAGACTGATGCCTAGAGCTCACCACTCCCTAATCACCACCCTTGGAATCCAAAATTACAACACTTAGATATTGCAACAGTCAGGGTCATGTGGTTTCCAGAAATTCAGGCTCTGTAATCTGAAACCCATTATGCTAATGAGGCATCCTACCCGCTATTCTGTGATAGGACGTTAAGTCTGTATGCTAATAGGACGCTAAGTCTGTTATGCTAATAAAGTATCCTACTTGCTGTACTGTGATAGGATGCTAAACCTGTTATGCTAATAAGGTATCCTACTTGCTGTGCTGTGATTGGACCACTACCCCTATATAAGGTTGTGCCTTCCTGCAATAAAGCAGATCTGTGTCACTGAACCTGGTCTCCTGTGTCTGAATGCGGCTCCGCTGGCACAGTCTCCTCACCAAGCCTGGGGTCTGGGACCGGGCAGAAGCAGCAACGATCGGAGGCAGCACCAGGCGAGCAGAAGAGCTGCCTCAGCACCAGGTGAGCAGAAGAGCGGCGTCAGCCCAGGGTGAGCAGAGGAGCAGCCTCGATGCCCGTGAGAACAAAGAAGTGGCACCCGTGAGAACAGAGAAGCGGCCGTCACTGGCAGTGACCACAGGCATCAATGACTGACATAACTTGACCCTTGATCCTGTGTCTTTCCCACTTGAACCAGCTACATATTTCCTCATACAGAAGGACTTTTGTTATAAGAATAGAGCCAGAGAAATCTTAGAATGCTAAAGATTTCTAAGATGACTACTGAAATCAGGTTTGAAAGCACTGTTTGGTGCAGGGCAACCTTACTAGGTGTCATGAATAAGCCAAAAATATGTTCCTTCAAGTAGCTATTCTTCCTTTAAGCTTTAAAGAGTCAAACCAACCCAAGAAAACCCAAGGCTTAACTTATATCTATGGAGTGCAAAGTTTATCTTTATCATGTGTTTCAAAGGGACTTAACTGTACAAGCTCCACAAACCTCACCTCAATGGCTTTTTCATCCTCCTTTACTTTTTGGAGAGCTTCCATTTTCCTATGACAATCTTTGAGATCACTCTGTAACTGAGACACAAGATGACGTTTCACAGAGTTGCTACCCAGCAAGCGCTGCACTTCAGCTTTCAACTTCAGGATGACCTCATCCTTCGAAAGCTCTTCATTTGAGGCTTCCTGCTGTACAGTGCTGATGGGGAAATTGTGAGTTTGGGGATTAAATCATATAACAGATCAAACAAGCTTATTGCCTAAAGCACTAACTAGGGCATTATGTTTGTGTACCTCCACAATAACATGTTAGTATTTTGAAACAACTTTATTTTTACAATTTTGTTTCTTTTGTGGTGCTGGGTTTAAAAACCAAAGTTTCATACAAGCTAGGCCAGTGTTCTAGCACTGAGCTATATCCCAGCCCTCAAAAGAATTTTAAATTTGATCATATCAAAGATATCACTGTTGCTATGTCCCCATACACAGAAATACTCTCATTCCTGCCTCATAAGCAGTTTAATGTGTAAACTCTGGTAGGGCTCAGGCTTGTGTTTTGGTATATGGCATGAAGTACAAGCAGGGTCCGAGACAGGCAGCGTGGACATTGAGAAAGAAATGAATATCAAACATCAGCCATCCTAAGCAGCAACTGCTGCTGTCTCTCCAACTTACTGAAACACAAGTCTGGGTGTGTATCTGAGCAACAGGAAAACACAGCAACAAAAGCCAAAAGCCATGCTAATCTAAATTTCTTTGCCTCTCCCTCCTCCTCTTTTCCCTCCCCTTCCCTCCCTGCAATACAAGGATTGAACCTAGTGGCCTCATACATGATAGACCTGTACCACTGAGCTACATTCCCAGTCTTTAAACCCACCTTTATTTTCAATAAGCTTAAGGCTTAAATGAAATTTTAATTTTTAAAAATCTCGTTATTATTATTATATGGTATATGTTTGTGTGTGTGTGTGTGTGAGAGAGAGTGAGAGAGAGAGAGAGAGAGAGAGAGAGAGAGAGAGAGAGGCATTCAGAGAGCTAAACAAGATCAAACCAGTCAACATTACAACATGGAGGGGGAAGGCTCAAAAGTCCCCACTCCCAGCTGAGGAGCTAAGGACAGCTGATGGTTTCATGGCTTCTGGGAAGGGACAGTCAGTTTTCTTTAAGGGTATATAGGCCATAGTAGGTCAATCATGCTCCAGTGGGTGGCCCCACACCCATGAGTATATAGGCAGGACATATTGAGACTCAGTGGTTTTTTTTTTTTTATATATACCAATGACAAGCAGTCAGAGAAAGAGCACAGGGAAACCCTCCCATTCACAATAGCCACAAAAAAAAAAATAAAACACCTTGGA